GTTGGTAAGTCTTGGATGGTTTTGCATACTAGGATGATCACTGGTAATACATCCTGCATATACTCTGGTGTTTTCAGAGCTCTCAAGGTGGTTGCCGATGGRTTYCTTAGAGCTTCATCATTATCAAGGCCATAAAGTTCAAGGCTATCTCCTGATGATTGAGTGGAAGGCGCTGGAGGCAATGCAAAGTAGGCCTCTCTTGAATGTCACCACTGTTGATTTGGTCCTTGTCCTTGGAATTGGACCGTCAATCCCGGATTGCTGTGAGATTGCAATGACACATGACTTGGAGGACCACCGCTGGAATTGGAGCCATGATAATTCTGAGTTTGGATCTGCATTGAGTGTGGCTTCATGTTTCCGTGTTCATCCACATAGTACAATCCCKGGGGCTTCCTACTGTTGTTGCTTGCATTTGAATTGCTCTGATGTTGGTTTCTCTGGTTTCCTCCGTAATTTCCCTGGTTGCTTTGATTTCCTCCATTGTTGCTTCGATTGTAACCATTCYTATTGAGTCTGCACTCCCCCCATAGGTGTTGTCCATTATGTATCTTGCAAGGAGTTGCATTGGTCCTAATTCTCCTTTCCTCGGTGGTTTCATTGTGTCTGTTGTTCCTGTCATTATTGTTGCTTTTATGGTTATTACCTCTTCTTCTTTGTTTTCCGTTACTCCTTGCGCGTTGTCCTGTTTCACTATCATCTGCTGCTGTTGGTCTTTTTCTTGAACGTTGCTGCTCCTTCTTGTCGGCCATTTCTTTCTGCTCTGTCATGAATTTGACTATTCCTTGTGGCGTATCTTCTAGGGTATCTCTACCGCAGCTGATATACTTCTCTTGCMAAGCATCTGGAAAGGAGTGGAAAAGAATCTCGTTGATCTCTCGCGCTGATAAAGGACCCTTGATTCCGTGTAGGATGTTGGCCCTATTGCAACACACAAGGACTTTCTCCTTGTGCTCCTGACAGGTAACGTCGTGAGGTTTCTTTATCGCGTCTGATTCCAGATACGCRATCACCCCATCTCTTGCTCTCTTTGACGGCGCATAGAATTCCCGAAAG